AAAGAAAAAAAAATCCCCTCTATCTGCTGCTCACCCAGCCCTTTCCACTATAGTAAATAGCATAGTTCATTCATCTATTCATCTCTCGGTCAGTCCATCCCTTCATTCATTCATCCATCCATCCAGACGCCCAAGCCAGAGATCTGGGTGACATCATGGTACCTCTCTGCCCTTCCTTGTGTGACTCAAGATAGTCTAGACCACACAGCAGTGACAAATCAACCGTATGCTCTCAGAGATGTAGCGCAGTGACATTTCTTGCTGGCCTATGTCACAGGCCAGTGGGGTCAGCAGAGGTGGGGGCAGAGTCCCACTTCACACCGTTTATTCAGGCCCCTCCCACACGTGAACTCTGCAGGTGACATGCCAGGGTCCTACAGAGAGGGAAGAGAGGTAAAGGCTCTGGAATCCTGTGAGGGGCGTTTTAGAGAYGAGTCCATCATTTCTATCCTCTTGCTGTGGCTAAAAAACTCAGGATGTGATGATAAGTCACGTGAGATGGGTGAGCACTAACCACCTCTGGCACTCTGGCAGTCATGTCCAGCTGGTCTGCCTCCAAGCCCTGTCATCCCTGTCTCCACCTTGTCCTATACAGGACTCTTCTCTGCGGCCATTGCTCCCTGTCAGACGCCTTCACCCCTCCCCAGGGTGTCAGCGGTGCCCTGACAAGTCTTTCATGTCTGCTTTCAGCTCTTGAAATGTATTGTCTTCACACACCGCGGAATGAGATCCAAAGCCCTTTGGTAGGCAGAATAAGGACCCTTGCCACTGTCCAGAGATAGAAGACACATCCTGTTCCCTGGAACTGTGTGCATGTGACCTTACATGGCAGAGGGATGCAGATGTGCGTCGGCAGTTATGTTGAGGTTCTCGAGATGGGGAGATCCTCCCAGGTTACTTGAGCAGACACAGTGTAAGCACGAAAGTCCTTATAAGTGAAAGAAGAGGGGAGAGTCAGAAAGGGAGAGTTGAGAAGGCTCAGCTTCTGACTTTGAAGATAGGGGAAGGGGACCATAGGCYAAGAAGGGCAGGTGGCCTCTAGAATCTGGAAAAGAAAGGAGACAGGACTCTTTTAGGACCTCTAAAAGCGCAGCCCTGCTAACACCCTTGACTTCAGCACAGCAAGACCCATTTCAGACCTCTTACCCCCAGAACTAATAATTTGTGCCATTTGAAGACAGTGAGTTGCTTACAAACTTTTAGCAGTAACAGGAAACTTAAGACACCACCATCTGGCGGCATCTGAGCATTTAGCATAATATCCAAAATCATTAGCAGGATCTGGCAGACTGGAAGTTCTGTGAAGCAGAGACAGGGTCCTTTCTCTTCACTCCTGTAGCATTCTGCAGGGTCTGACTCGTATTTCTTGAGTATGGATCATAAGGGGGAGGGGGAGGGGAAGAAGACAGGGAAAAGAGAAAAAAAAGAATAAAAGGAGGAGGGAGAGGAGAAAGGAAAAAAGGCATCCTTGAGCTTCCAATCTCACCAAAACTAAGGTGTGTTGAGACTGGAGTGTGAAATGAATGGGAATGTGGAAACAGGTCGCATTTTACCTGAGTGGCAGGAAAATATCTTGCTGTCCTTAGCTAGAGAAACCTAAGGCCCTCTCAAGAGCCCCTCCTGCTCTCCTCGGCTCCAAGGCTGTGAGCTCCCATGCTCAAGGATGTCCACTAAACCGACACTGGGATTAGGACATGGGGTGGCCAGGTCTCGTTTTAGGTTTCCTGTCTACTCCGATGCCACAGGAGTTGCCCTTAGGACTCTGGAGGGGACCCAGGATGGGGACTGAAGAAGACACCAGGAGGACTTTGAGAGTTGTGCTAGAGGGTCCTTAGCCTTTCCAGGTCATGGGGTGGGGTGGGGTTGGGTGCTGTGTCCAGTGCTCCTTGGAGGGCAGCTCCTGCTTGCCCTGGCCATCTCCGAGGCACCAGCAAGTCCCTGGGGAATCTCTGTTCCAGATTTGAGCTCTGGTCACTCAGAGTTGGACGTCCCAAGAGACACAAGGCCCTTAATGGGCACCTCAGGAATGAGCCATGGCAGAGGAGGCCAGAACACAAGTCTGGGGCTTCCAGTGCAGATGCCGAGGAAAGACCCTACCCCCTGTGAGCTTTGTAGCTTTGTGTGTTTCCTCCAGTCCCGTATCCTGGTGCCTAGAGGGTCCCTGGCACATGGCAGACACTCTAAGTGGTCTTGAGGAGAATGCACCCCTTTCCCTGCCACCACCTCTTTACCCTCCATCCCAGGATCCCCTGTCACCCCTCGTGCCACCTACTTGACTCCTGCATCCCAGCTGCCTCACAGCCCTCACATCTCTGCTTGCTGTCTTGAAGTCGCGTCCTCTGCCCTGCTGGCAGCAGCAGCTGGCTATGCTAGGGCCTAATGCTCCGCATAACAGGAACATCTGTTGGCTGGGATCCCTGGAGTGTGGGCCAGACATGGTCACGCTCCATGGCTGCTTCACGGTCAACACAAACTGTGGCGGCCAGAGATATGCTGTTGGGTCTCTTTCAAGGACATAATGTCACAGCCAACCACATGCTGGCTAGATGTCTTGCTGTAGTGGATAGACAGGTATCCCTGACAGTGGCCTATTGCTGGGACCCAGGGCTGGCACCCCTCATTTGATCCTCAGTGTCCTTGACCTCTTGGTGTGCTGACTCAGAGTATTGCAAAGTACTGCATTATTCCCAGCTCCCAAATTCTGACATTCCAAGAGCAGAATGCTATAGGTCAGGGTGTGGATTCTAAAATGGCAGGATCTACATTCTGGGAGAAGAGGTCTTCTACATCCAGAAGCCATAGATATCTCCTGGTCCTAACAGCACCCAATAGTGTGGACCCTGACAGAGACCATGGCCTCATGCTTCAAGCCCTCTCCCCTGCCTGGCATCTGTCCAGGGACACCTGACTAAAACAGTGAAATTGATGCTAATGACAACAGTGTGTCTGCATAGAGGGAGCCTGGTGCTATTTGGAGAACTTTCCATGTAGGAACTCATTAGTGCTCCTAGCGGCCCTGTGAGGTGGAGTGCAGAGGTCACTTGCTTTCCTGCTGTGATGTGGGAGTCGTCTCCGTGGCCCATGGTCTCTCTGCAGACCAGGTTCCTTTCCCGAAGCTACTCTGCGGTCTGATGTGCTGTGCTTCGGCCACCCCACTGCACCTCTGCATGCTGTCTAACTGTGTCTTTGTGTGTACTTCCCTGGCTTACCCCATAGATGCCCATGAGGGTCCCTGGGCTTCCTTCCTCCATGATCTTCTCACTTGACATCCTTTTCTCATGACTTCCCTTATGCTGGAGTTAAGGATGGCAGGTGGACTGTGGGACTCGGTTGAAGAACTGGGACGCTAAGAGAACGGAAAGCTTTTAACTGCTCCTGGGGTGGGTGTGACCCAGTCGGAGACTCATTTTGAAAACCAGTCACAGCTGGGTGGGGTTGATGGAGATTCAAGAAGAGGCTGTAACGGTGGTCCCAGGGAAGGGTAGAGGATTCCACGATCATCTGGAGGGAAATCCAGCAGGATTCGACATGGAGCACCAAGGAGGAGAGAGAACAAGGTGGGGTGGCTGTCACGCTTCTGGGGCTGGGAGAGATGAGGGTTTAGTGGGTGATGCTGAGTAGAGGCACGAACTGCTTCATCTGCTTCTGATTGGTCTTGGGTCCCCCAAGGTGGGAAAGTCCAGCAAGGTAACTGGCCACAGACCCAGCCCTAAGGGAGTGGCTGGAAACAGAGAACTGGGCATTGTCAAGTATCTGAGTGGGGGGAGCTCATTCCGGGTGTGTGGCCGGTGGCTCAGGTCAGAGCAGCTGGCAGACGGCTGAAATCATCCTTTGATTTCAGCAGGAAAGAGGTCAGTGTTGACATTGGTGAGATCAGTTCAGCATAGAGGAGGGACAGAGGTGATAAACAGGAGACTGGCTGTGGCTGGAAGGAGAGAGTACAGCAGAGGGAGCAGGGGCCTCTGAGCTCCCCAAATCCAAAAATCTGGTTCTTCTTCCTCACAACTCATGTCCAGGGAGTCGCCAGATCCTCAGGATTCCTAGGTACTTCTCAGTGCATCCTTGCCATCCTCTCCATCAGCCTGACCCTGTGACACCAGGCTGGCCTCCCCCATGGTCCCTGCCTCCTTCATGTCATCCCACTCCAAGACTCCAAGTCCTTTCCCAGTTCCAGCAGTGGCACACRCAGCCTTCTGCCTGGATGGCCTTCCCTTCTCATCTGATCAATCTGTGCTCCTCCTCCAAGGGCCAACTGAGGCCTGACTGCGGGCTCCATCCAGGCCTGCCCTGCGAGGCAGGTGGGGGCCAGGCAGCAGCCTCAGACCCGCCACTTGCAGCCCCCACCCCGAGGGTGAGCGACCACTGACCACCACTGAGGAGGTAGAGCCGAGGCCAGACCACACCGTGCTGACCCTGGGAGGCTGCTGCCGAGGCAGGAAGTCTGGAGCAGGTCGTGTGGGAGGGGCTGCTCTAGGGACCCAGCAGCCTCTTTCTGCAGGGCCCTGCCTGGCCTGGTGCTTTTCCCCTCCCCACAACCCTGCAGGACTCAGGGGCTGTGGGCCAGGTAACATCAGGTGAGGCCCCCTTTCTACCTCAGGACCACCTGCAGAGGCAATGTGCCTTACCTCCTCTTTGAGAGGCTTTTCAGGTACAGGCCTGGCCTTCCCTCAGACAGGAAGTCCACTTTCCTCTGCAGCTGCTCCCACCCACTCGGCAAGAGCCTGGCTCATGAGCGGTCCACCCTGCCTCTGTGTGGGGGGCGGTGGGGGAATACAGGTGTGAGCGTCCAAGTGTGGTGTGTATGCTGTACATGTGGGCATCCACAGTGTAGCGTGTGTTGTGGGATGTGTGCATGCACGTGTTTGTGACTGGTTCTGTGTGGTGTGGTGTGTGTGCACTAACGTGGTATTTATGTGAGATGATGTGCATGTGTGTGTGTGTGTGTGTGTGTGTGTGTGTGTGTGTGTAGACCCATGCTCACCATGGCTCTCTTCCCCCAGGCTGCCCTGGCATGTGGGACAATATAACCTGCTGGAAGCCAGCCCATGTAGGGGAGATGGTCCTTGTTAGCTGCCCTGAAGTCTTCCGGATCTTCAACCCGGACCAAGGTGGGTAGAGCCCAGTCTTTAGGCCACGCTGATCTAACCTGCTCCCTGAGCTYAGCCCAGGCTCCTAAAGACAAGCACTAAGGACTGGCTCCCTGTGAACAGATAGTCTTTGCTCCAGAGCACTTGTAGGGGTGCACAAGCCTTCCTTCAACATGGCACCCAGTCCCCAGGGACACCTGGGTGTGCACTGGTGTGGGGTTGATACCAGCTCTGTCTCTCACCCTCCTAAGGACTTGAGCAAAGCAGTTCACCCCTCCCAGTTCAGGCCCTGGTCTGCCAGGTGAGAATGTGGCATGGTGGCTCCCTCATGGGGTGTCTCTGAGGATAAAGTGAGGTCATGCATGTGGGTCATCGTGTAGTGCAGGACTTGGCACATCTTGAATGTTCAGTGGTCAGTGGTAGCTGATGTTGTCATTGCTGTCACACAGTCACAGAGCCTCTCAGAGGCCCAGGGGAATGCGTGGACAGGGACCAGCAGTTAGACACCCTCAGGCAGAGCGGGAGTGKGAAGGGTGCAGTTGGGCTCATGACGCTCACCCACGTCCACACTCATGGACCACTTGATGTGGGCATGGTGCCCAGGCCTCACAGCAGGCAGGCAGGCAGGCATGTCTGCTAACAAAGCGTTTCCTTGGCCCTCACTGCCCTTAGGTAGCTATGAGGGCTCAGGAGAAGAGAAGCTGGGGGTCCTGGCCTCCAGGAGCTCCTGGGCTCCTAGGAGAGGACACTATCCACAGGGGAAACAGTGTAGTCTGTACCTTATGGACGCTGGTTCTGGGGTGAGTGTATGGTGGCACCCTTCCTGCCAGGGAAGTGGGGGGGTCACAAGAACTCAATTTTGGGCATGTCTGAGTTTGAGATCTCTGGGGGCCATTGAAATTCTGTGGAGAGTTCTGGGGGCCCCAGATTGATTTAGGAGCCTGTGGGATAGACATGGTGGCCGAGCTCCGTGATGCAGGACACAAAGATATGGGGCAAAGGCAAGACAAAGTCCAAATGGCTCCGGAGGCTGAGGCAGGAGGATCGCCAGTTCAAAGCCAGCCTCAGCAATTTAGCAAGGCTCTAAGCAACTTAGCTGGGGATGAAGCTCAGTAGTTGAGAGTGTATCGAAAAAAAAAATATATATATATATATATACTTTATATACTTTATATACTTTATATATATATACTATATATATACTTTATATATATATACTATATATATATTTTATATATATATATATAAAGTAAACTCTAAATGGCTGCATATCCACTGGGGGGTTCCTATTATGAGAGGTAAAAGGCAAATTCACTTTCAAACCTGACGTTCCAGCAATATCGTGCGTAAAGCAAGGGATTTGCAGGAGATGGCCAAGAGAGGTAGTGACACATGTTGGAGTCTCATCTCTGGCTCCCATCCCAAGAAGGTGGGGCCTGTCTCCCACACATCCCACCTTGCTTTGTCCACATCCCTCACACCTCCAGACCTCTGCCAGCCCAGAAGGAGGGTGGCAACTGAACTCCCCACCCCAAGGGCTTGGGGACTTGGAGTGAGTGACCCCAAACAGGCTAGAGAGTGAATTCTGGCCAAGGAGACAGGCAGGGAAGTGCTGGAGCAAGGAGCACAGTGAATGGAGGGCTGTGAGGCACAGTGACAGCCTGTGATTCAGCCCCGTTCCTCATTCATTCCTCTAGAAACCAACTTAGTCACTTCCCCCATGAATGTATGGCTCTCATTCAGTCATTTATTTAAAGTTTACTGAACATCTTCTCTGGGTCAGATTCCATGCCAAGAATGCTTCTTGCCACAAAAGGCAAAGAGATTCTGCAGTCGAGTGAGATTTCCTGGAGATGCACATTCCTCCAGCTTCTCTCCCTCAGCAGCAGGCKGGCGGTGAGGTGACACCCATTCCTAATGGTTCATTAAGGCGGGGACTCCAGCACCTCTGTTCACAGGCTTGGTTAGTGGGCTTGCCTTGCCACTTAGACGTGTGGGTTGGATGTCTCCTTTGCTTTCTCAGCTCTCAGGAAGCTCCAGGGGTAATGCAGCCGGGCAGGACCTTGGAGATGTTGGAGGTGTGGGGGCTCCACCCTCTCTCCTCCTCCCAGATGCCTCTGCACATTTCTGTTCCGGAGGTAGAGGTAGAAGTCTCTTATGCCTGATGGTGCCCAGCGTGTAGTCCTGCTTTCTGCACCCCCTGCAGAACTCTCTCCGAAGTTTGGGGGTGGGGAGGAGGAGGAAGTGGTCAGTGAGTGCAGACCTCCCACTGCACACTCCTGCTTACCTCTGCATTTTCTCTCTTTCTCTCTCTCTCTCTCTTTCTGTTGCAGTCTGGGAGACGGAAACCATCGGTAAGAGGAACCTTGGTGAGGACAGACCGCTGTCCATCTGTCCATCTCTGTATGTAGCAGGAGCCTAGCCTCAGGAGATCCCAGGCTCTGACTGCCGGGATCAGCGTTTGGTTGGGTGGAATGGCAGGCTCTTCAGGGACCAGGTTCTTCTCTCCTTCTCCCCTCCCCACACCTCTGTTCAGCCACCCTGAAGGTGGGAGCAATGGAGGACACAGCCTTTGGCTTCCAGGCCATCATGAGCTTGTTTGGAAAGACAAGACTCACCAATGCATAGGCATGTGCGCAGGCACATGCAGGCCTGACCTGTGAGTGAATCCGTACAGATGCTCATATCCCCAGTTGCTGAGAAGGTGGAATGTACGGGAAGCCAGAGAATAGAAGAGAGCTGATGATGCAGCATATGGGCAGAGCAGTGAGGTCATGGGAGGCTTCCTGGAGGAGGTGGCATGTCAGCTTGGAAACCGGATTTTTGAGAAATGGAGATGAAATGTGGGTCCATTGCTAGGCTAGCATAGGATTTGGGCATAGGAGAGCGTGGGAAGGGRAATAAAGAATAAAGAGAGAAGGATAAAATTCTGGGGATGAAGTCTTTGAAGTTTTGGGTTCCCTTTGATGAAGAGTGGGTCTGGAGACCGAGATGAGCACCAAAGGAACCCCAAGTCCTAGACCCCTGTTGCTGTTCTTTGCTCGTTTCTATTCCTTCCCCTTCCTCTCTACTCAGCAGAAGGCCCTCCTGCCCTCCTGACAGTGCCGATTTCCTGTTTCCTGAGGGGTGGGGTGGGTGGTTGAGTCATGCATCATCCTTAGCATCCAAGAAATGCAAACCCAAGGAGATGGGTGTCAGAAGGTGCTGTGAGTCAGAAGGGTGTGCAGCCACTGTGTGTGAGGCTGTCTGGTGACCTTGTCCCCAGGCCCTCCAGACCCAGGCACATCAGGGAAAGTAAGCAGTGGTAATGCATCAAGTTGATCAACCAGGCATTTTGACACATGCCCACATCTGTGTTTTACAGGAGAGTTTGATTTTGCTGGCAGTAACTCCTTGGGTCTCTCAGGTAAGGGACAGGCTGGGACCCACCATGGACTGGCTGACCGGAGGGTGTCTGCTGACATGGGAGCTTTGAGAGCCCCATTGCAGGCTGAGCTCTGCCCTCTGTGGCTTTGAGATCTGAGACTGGTTGGTAACTTTCGAGGTACAGRTACAGCTTGTCTCCATGGCAAACGGCAGTTAAGTGCCAAGGCAGAACACGGTTCCTACAATTTCATAGGAGCTGGAGATCTCTTGAAGCCCCTTTGTGGATTCTAAGCAAAGAACCCCTGTTTTAGACGGTTCCTGATAGTTTTGAACTCYGATACGTAGGGTAGAGGTTTTCAAACCAAATTTAAACTTGCACATCACAGTCCTCTCCTGGGCTTATTAAAACACAGATTCCAGGGCCTCACCCTCAGAGTCTTCTGATTGCCTGGGCCTCGGCCTCAGGATGAGCATGCGCATTGCTAGAGGGATACCCAGGTGTTCTGTGGTCTAATATGGGCAGGTGCTCATTCAGGAACCCTAAAATTCCCGGCTTCTATGAAGCTGCTGGGGCAAAGCAGCCTGGTGATGTGGGCGCAGTCACTGCAGGATTCTGACAATCTGGAGAACGCTCTTCCGGAGATTTCTATCAGAACAATATTCAAGGATCAGTTCTGGAACAAAAAGGTTTATACTTTTCTGTGCCTACATTAGGCTATAAAAAGAAAAAAAAAGAAAGAAAAGAAAAGAGAGGAAATGGCTTTTCTCTCCAGGACAGTTTTATAAAAAAATTGTTTTTCAAAACAACTTCCCTTTCCTCTTCTCACCACCTTGAGAAGGGCAGAGTTGGGAGGAGAGGAAGCCCTTATGGGGGAGCAGCTTGGGCAAGGCGCTGCCTCCCCTGGGACAGTCAGACTTTCTGAAGAAGTGTTTAGAGGGACTTGGAAGGAGATTGCCAGAGATTGCCAGGGGCAGCCTGAGCAGATTTTCTGGAAGGAGGAGCAGCTTGGCACCACACTGTGGGATTGAAGTGAGCTCTTTGGCTTTGCCTGGGCCTGCCAGGTTTCTCCCCAGCCTGTCCACAGAACTCAGCACTGGAGAAATGATAGAGGTGACAGAGACCAGACTCTCCCTCCCCGCTGCTGGGCAGAACTCTCCTTCCCTGCAGGCTCATGTCTCCAAGTCCCAAGAAAGATGTTTCTGACTCTCCTAGGTGAAGAGACTGGCCTTCCATCTTCCAGCTCAACCAGCAAGGATGTGGGCTGGAAGAGGAGTCTCTCCTCTTGGCCTCTGCATCCGGCCATGGGTCTCCTTGAACCACTGCCCACCCSCCTTGGCGGCCTGGGTCACAGAGGGGAAAATTCTACCTAGCCATCTGTGCCCTATGCCCCTTGTCACTGAGTCCTATGAGGGGGAGAACCATCCCCACGTGTCCTAAGAGGCCAGGTAACTCCCAAGAAAACATTCTGAGGACTGACGTCTCTCCGGGGCCACATCTAGGTGTTCGCTGGAGGAAAGGGGACTGCTTACCTCCCCTGATCATGTGTGGCTGTCCCTTACAGACCATCTGGTGATGGGAGAGAGAAATGAACCAAGCAACCATGGGATGCTAAAACAGCCCCACGAATAATGAAAACCAGGCTGAATGCTTTTTTTTTTTTTTTTTTTTGTAGCTAGCAAATGGCTCAATGGCTGTGTCTTACCCTGGCCTCCCCTGGGTATCACACAAGATGGCCTTTTAAGGCCATCAGAAGAAAAACTAAAGTACATTAGTAACAGGAAATAGACCAGCAAACCCTGAAAGGCAAAACTTAACCAAAAACCAAACTGGAGTATATGTCTTAAAAAAGGTCCTAAGCTAGTTCAGTGTCCTTGTTAATTAAGCAAGGTGTCTCATTGGTGCCGAATGTCAGCTGCTAGGGTAAAGTTCACCTGCAGAGTGGGCTCAAGACACACCTCTGGTCACCTGAGGCAATTCCTGGACACACTCAGATGTCCTGCCGAGAATCCCTGGGGCTGCAGGGACTGGAATCTGCATTTGTGATGAGTCTCAGGATGGTTCTTCTACACATGGGCCTTTGAGAAGCACTGATCCAGAGACTTGAACATTTCCTGGCAGGTATTTGGGAATATTCCAGAAGGAGAGCTGCAGGGCTGCTGGACTCACAGGCTCAGTCCCCTTACCCCAGCCCTATGGTTCTTAGTAAAGACTGAGCTGCAGGCCATCAGCTGTCACTGACTCCTTGGACCTCATGTCTTCCAGCGGACACATGGGTTTCTGGTTCCTACTTAAGCAGTAATGTTTGCATCTGCATCTCGGGGCTCTCTGAAGTCATTCTGTGCCTCACTGAGTGTTCTCTTCTCTGCAGACATGGGTGTGGTGAGCCGGAACTGCACGGAGTATGGCTGGTCGGAGCCCTTCCCTCATTATTTCGATGCTTGTGGCTTTGACGACTATGACACTGAGACTGGGGACCAGGTGAGTGTCTGTGCCCTGTTCCCCAGAAGTGGTGGGACAGCGGAGAAGACAGGTCTCTAGATGACATTCATGGTCACCTACTGTGTATCCAAGCTAGCTGCTGTGGCGAGAAGCAGCTGTCATGCTGCCTTATCCTCCAGCCCCTACTTCCTGTCCCTTCTGGGGACACTGTCTTGCCGAGGATYCAGAACCTGAGGAGTTAATTCTGGGCCCCACATGGGGGCTCCCCCTCCTACCACCCACATCTAACTAAAGGATGCTGTCTCTACGGACTGGTTAGTGCTCTTCCTTTGAGCAGATGCTGGGGATGGAACCCAGGGCCTGGTGCATGCTGGGTAAGGGCTCCATCTCTGCACCACACCCCCAGCCACATCTGCAGAAGGTAACCCTGCAGAGCRGAACAAGCAGCTTAGCTGGGAGTAGGGGAGTGGAGGTAAGATCGCTAGGAGGAGACAGGGAGAAGCTAGGCCCAGAGGGTGCAGGTCTGGGGGTGGGGCTGGGAGGGCCTGCCCCATGTGGATCCCTGCATATCCTGTGTCCTGCTCTAGGATTATTACTACCTGTCGGTGAAGGCCCTCTACACTGTTGGCTACAGCACCTCCCTCGTCACGCTCACCACTGCCATGGTCATCCTGTGTCGCTTCCGGTGAGACTCCAGTGACACTGGAGCCCACACAACCTACCTCTGCGGAGAGTAGTGCCTCCCGTCCCCTCCTTGTGGATGTCAGCCCTCACCCCTGGGGTAGCAGATGGGAAACCTGACCCCAGAGAGGGCAGCCTACTTGATCAGGGCCACACAGCCAGGCAGAAGCTGGGCAAGAGACCTGCATTGCTCACTTTCATCTTCCTAGTGTAGATAGAGAGGCCCRAGGAGGGAGAAGGGGCACAGGTGACAGGGGCCTGGAAACCAGGATCAGAGAGGTGGGTAGAAGCARGTAGACTCGGTGGCAGACCCCACTGAGACAATGGCAAGAGCAGGTCCAGGGCAGAGCCCAGGGTGGAGGGTGTGAGTGCTTTGGGGTTACTTGCTTGGGGTCAAGTCCTCCTCCTCCTCCCCTGGCCCGCTCCTGCAGGAAGCTGCACTGCACCCGAAACTTCATCCACATGAACCTGTTTGTGTCCTTCATGCTGAGGGCGATTTCTGTCTTCATCAAAGACTGGATCCTCTACGCCGAGCAGGACAGCAACCACTGCTTCATCTCCACCGTGAGTGAGCTCAGAGGACCCCAGGCCACTGCTGCCAGGAAGTCCCCCTCCCTGCACCACCACCTGGGACTTGTTTCTCAGCCTGAGCCCCTCGAGTGTGTTCCTGGAATGAAGGCGTTGTCCCCCATTCACATGGAAGCCCAGGAATCAACATGTCCCAAGGGTCACTTCTAGACAAATTGTCTTCAGTCCCTCAGAGTACTTGAGGAAGGTCAGCCAACTCTGGAGGCCACTGAGGCTCCCAGAGGGCTGGTGTGGGCCCTGGTCACTTAACCAGCTGAGCCAGAGCCCACGTGCTGGATGGCTAGGGGTCTTTCCATGTGTCTCCTCATGCCCCCGGTATTTGGGGGAGGCGCCAGGTGGGAAGAATGGTCTGGAGTCCAGCCCTTGACTGAGAGGGCTCACTTGAAGGTTTTCAGTGAGAAGGGATCTCTGGGGCCCGGGTGAGCATTCCCTCCATCTGGGAGGGATCCAGGTCCCTGTTTCACCAGGAGCTCCCTGTGGGGGACCTCTGGCTTCTCCCTGCTCATCTTCCTTGTGGGAGCTGAAGRGGGGGTAGGTGGGCCTGGTGGGCTCCACCCCTGTGTACCTGTCCCTCTCCTGCCAGCGCAGGCCTTTTGGACTGAGACCCATAGGATGCTGCAGATCTCAGCGCCACAGTTCGGGAGTGTTGACTGTCCCGGATCCTGGGCGTGTTTGGGCCCCACCCAGCATCACTAGAGCTGAAGGTCCTCAGGACTCCCCTGGGCTTTAGGGGTTCTCCTGGGGTCAGGAGAGGGAGTACGACGTTCCTYGCCTGGTGGCTGTCCCTGTAGGTGGCATGCAAGGCTGTCATGGTTTTCTTCCACTACTGTGTGGTGTCCAACTACTTCTGGCTGTTCATCGAGGGCCTGTACCTCTTCACGCTGCTGGTGGAGACCTTCTTTCCCGAGAGGAGATACTTCTACTGGTACACCATCATTGGCTGGGGTAGGTCCCTGGCCGGGCCTGGACGCACTCGGGCCTCCTAGTCGCGTGTGACCTTGGTACTGCCCCAGGCAGACGCTGACTGCTCGTTCTTGGACCCTGCCTTTCTCTTCCTGCCTGTGGGAGAAGTACTGCCCAGGAGTCCTCCTGAGAGACAAGGTGGTCTGAGATCTGGGGCAGATGTTGACCTCCCAGGAAGCCTGGGTGTGAGGGACAGTAAGAGTCCCCAGGAACTCCAAGTGTGAGGGGCATGGTGGCCTCTGGGAGCCCCAAGTCTGAGAGAACAGTGGACACGCTGGTTTTCCTGCGATTAGGGGCCTTTTTTCTTGTTTTCCTAGGGACCCCAACTGTGTGTGTGACCGTGTGGGCTACACTGAGGGTCTACTTCGATAACACAGGGTGAGTACACRCCCAAGAGTCAGGGCCAGAGCAGAATAGATTCCTACAGATGGGTTCTCAGTGGCTGTCGACTTTCCCAGCAAACCATCCAACATTGGGACCAGACTGAAGCCCAGTGCCAGGGGCCACCTGAGCACAGACCCCCATGCAGGTCAGCTACATCTCATCCAGCAGCCCAGGAAGAGAATAGGAAAGGTTTCTGAACCCTCTTTGCTCTGGGCCCAGCTCTGGGCCCTCCCTTTGGGGAGGGTAGGAAGATGGTGATGGTGAGCTTATGCCTCAAGAGTTCTGGGTCTGAAAGGGACACAGGGACCTTTCCCAGGAGCCCACTGGTGACCATAACTCTTTGACCCCAAATCCTGTCTTGACAGGGATGCAGAGGGAAAGAGCAAGGCTCAAAAGAAGGGCATTCCTATAACCAGGGTCTGGCTTCTGCAACTTCTCCTTCTAGCTGACCCCTCTTCAGGAGCTCCAGGGGAAGAAAGGGCCAGACCCTCAGCTAGCCAGGGCAGTGTCCTGTAGGCATCTGGGCTCAYCCCTGGATGTGATTTCTCTTCTCTCTGTCTGTCCATCTTTCAGCTGCTGGGATATGAATGACAGCACAGCTCTGTGGTGGGTGATCAAAGGCCCTGTGGTTGGCTCGATAATGGTGAGTGTCCTTGGGACAAAGAGGAAGAGAAGAGACGGGGCCTGGGCGGAATGGCACATGAACAAGAAGGGGACATGAAAGAGTCACTGAACAAACTGGCCTTCTTCTTTGTTGTGACTGCATTATATTCCATAGCACAGACACACAAATTATTTAGCTGTCCCCCTAGGGGTGGACATGTATCTTACTACGTTTTATTCATTATGAAAGGTGCTACTAGAATAGTTTTGTGCATAATTTTAAACATTTGCAAATATTTCTTTAGAATACATCTCTAAACATGGGAGGAATAGGTCAAAAAGGGTATACATCTAAAATTTTTAGGTCCCAAATTGTTTTGCAAAATTCCTTTAGCAATTCACACTTCCTCTGGAAGGGTAGTGCATTTCCCCAATATCAATCATCTAAATTTTTACATATTCTTATGGAGGATAATAGTAATCTCACAAACATTTCTCCATATTGTTAGCTAATTGACCAGTTTTTCTGAACATTTAATCATATTTTTTTTTCAATTCTGAATATTCCCATCTATCTCTTTTGCCTAGTTTTCTATCAGATTATATTTATTACGGTGAAGGATAATAACCCTTCATTTGTTATATGTGTTGTGTTTCTAAGACAGCATAGCTGTTCTGCAGTGGAATCCTCCGGCTTTATAAATTCTGAGCCCTACTTCTTGTTTATAGAGTTCTTTCCTAACCTAAGTTATAAAAATACGCCTCTTCCTTGTTTCGTAATACTTTTGTGAATTGTACTGTTATGTATACACCTTTAATCCAGCTGAAATTTAATTTTTTGTCTGGCCTGAAATGGTATTTAATTTTATCTTTCTAATGGATGTACATTCCACATTCTCAATTCTTTTTATTGCATCCTTTTTATTGAAATGTTATTTTTGGATCCAGACTTTCACTTTTATGCTGCTAATCTATTTGTCTATTCCCTAGGCAGATTCCCCATTTTCCTAGTTACTGAGACCTTGTAGCATGCTTTGTAGCAGATTTCTCCTCTTATTTTGTTTTTCTTCAAAAATTCCTTGCCCATTTACTCTTCAGGTGGACTTTTGAATATCCTTGTCAAGCTGCAAAATTGTAAAATAAAAAAAAAGTATGTTTGAGATCGTGTTGGAATCACACTGAATTTATAGGCTAATTTGGAGAACTGGTTTGCTTAAATGGTGGAGTCTTTCTCTCCAAGAGTGTGACATGATTCTCCACCTATTCGGTCCTAGTTACAGAGTTATTTTGGTAAASTTTTTTAGATTTCTTTCTTGTTGTTATGTTCACCTCTAAGGTGTTTCCCAGTTTGGCCTTTTATTGAATCTAGGAATCATTCTTTCTTTCTACTTTCTGATGGGTTACTGGTGGAGTGTAGGGAAGCTCTTGTCTTTTGTGCATTTTTTTAAGTTACATTTATGAACTCTTTTATTAGTTCTTGTCCCTTTTCTGTTGGTTCACGTGGGTTTTCTAGGTAGAAATTACATGATCTGCAAATGAAAAMAGTTTTTATCCTTCTTTTTCAGTATCGTGTCCCTTTTATTCCTGGTTTCTGTACAGGGTGATGTTTTCTCTAACTTTTGGCAATTACCCTGCACGGAACTGGAGAAGTTTCTCTTCCTGGCTTGTTTTAGTATGAATTCTTAATATCTCAAGCATGGATATTGGATTTTATCAAATGCATTTTGGAGATATTGGAGTGATCATACCCATAGTGATGAACATTGAGAGTATTCCAATCTAACTTCATTWTGAACAAGGAATATATATTTGTGCCTTTATTTGAACATATGTGAATATTTCTTTAGAGTAAATCTCTAGGAGTGGAATTCCTGGGACAAAGATATGTGCATTGTACATTTTCATAGATAGCAAAAATTGCCCTCTATGAGCAAGGTATCATTTCTGGTATTTCCCCTACCTTTGCTGATGTTTCTGTGACCAACTCATTCACCAGTCTTTAGGGATTTAATGGMAGCTTATTGCAATCTGTTGTCGTAACAAATATTAGGTTTATTTTTGCATTTCTAGTTTGAAACCTTTGTGGTCATGATCTGTTTGTTYGTTGAATACACTGCTAAATTCTCTTTATTAATATTTTTTTTAACTTTTTGCCTTGCTCTCTGTAAATTCTGTGGTCTTCTATGTCTATGTGCCTGTGAAAGTGTTTTCTGTATTCGCCTGGCTTTTGTAGCAGGATTTTGTTAACTTCKTRGGTAATCTAYGAGGTTTTATTTGCTTTAAAACAATAAAGTAGCATGTCAATTACATGTTCCTTAGAAGTTCATAAAAATCATCTGGGCCTAACGTCTTTGAATGCAGACACCTTGACTACTTTTTAAATTTCTTCTGAGATGATTACTCAGATTTCTCTACCTCTTCTTGAGTTGTGTTTGTTAATTTTTATTTTCCCATTTTGTTTGGTATTCTCTCACGATTTAAAATATTCTGCCCATCTTGTCTTGTCCTCTTTCTCACGCCTAAATTGGTCTAACTGTAGTTTCTCCTTTTGGATTGATGAACACATGCAGTTAGAGGTATTTGCTGAGCTAATTCCAGGCACTGATTAGACAGCAGGCATGGAGCAGAGAACAAGGTGGACAGAGTGTGGTGTGTGCTTCGTCATTCCAGTTGATCTATAAAAACAAAGAAGACAAAAACAAAAATAAATTGTCATTTTTGTCGATCCAATCTCCTATTTTTTTTCTATTTTCTTTCTTATGTTTTTTGCCCATATAAAATTCCTTCTTCTATAAGTTCCATTTGAGGTAATCTTTTCTTAGCTTTTTTTGATTTGAAGGCCTAATTAGTTTTCAGTAATTATGATTTTTTTTTTTTAAATAGACTAACTTGAGGCTCTCTGTTTTTTCTTCCAAGGCTGCTTTAGCTATCTCCAAGACATCCCTGAACAGTCCTCATTTATTTATTTGCTCTCCTTCCTCCTCCTTTCTCACATACACACAGCTTCCCACTTTGTTTAGAAAGCATCTGTCAAAGATCTTTATCTGATGGCAAATACTGCTATTGCTGTTCCCAGGCAGTCCTGTAATTAGCAAGGCTTATGGCCACACAGATTCCCCATATTCCATGACGCTCATCTTGGAGTTTTTCCAGAGAAGAACTCTCACCTCTGCAGTTGACTCTTTTCTCTTAAGTTGTAGCTTTCCCACCAGCCTGGTCCTACTTTCTTTTTCTCTTCTAGACATGGCTCACCTTCCCCACTTACTCATGACACCCTTCCCTATTTTCCGGAACTCCTGTGGAATTCTGTTTCTCGTATCTCTTCTTTCATTGCAGTGATACTGTGGTGCGTAGGAGCTACATTAGCGCTCTCCTACCTCCATCTTGGATTAGAAGTCTAGAGGGGATCTCGACTAGCTGGGGAAGGTACTCGTGGGGAAGAGGTGCCTGTATAGGGGCAGGAGTGCACAAAGTCTTGGCCCAGAGTCATGTCTGTCTGCCTTTTCTTTGGCCCTCAGGTTAACTTTGTGCTCTTCATCGGCATCATCGTCATCCTTGTGCAGAAGCTGCAATCTCCAGACATGGGAGGCAACGAGTCCAGCATCTACTTGTAAGTACCACCATGTGGATGCCACGGCCATTTGCAACAGCCACACAGGCCCGGTGCTCAGGTCACCAGCAGGAGAAGGCTTGGGCTTGGCTGATAGGGTTATATCATAATGGGCATTGGCAAAATTTCTTCCTGAAAGAAACATAGCCTTTAAAACATAGTTGCCCTCCCTCCTGGGCTTCAGCCAACCCAGGAGCTCCTAATTTCCATGCCATTACACATAAGGGGAAAAAAAAAGAGAGAGTGACAGAGCCTATGTGACACTAGAAAAATCAAAGTGGAGAACACCAGATCCCCTAAGGTAGTTCAGGACCTGGTTGTTCAGAAGCTGGGTTTCCTGTGGGGATGCTGGTCTGTGGGAAACCTGTGAGCACACTGGATAGGCCCAACCCCCAGGACCACACGTAGAACTTGCTCAGCGTGCCTGGTGACACAGGTGGTCATTCTCACTGGCCTGGGTGTTGGAATTGGGGTTCTTTCTCTCAGGGCAGCTCTGCCTCTGCATCTCTCTGATCCTTCTTCCTCAGTTCCCTCCTTCCTGAGAAGGGGAATGTCTGATCACTTTCTGTGTCGGGGGTTCACGTGCAGCCTCTTTCCACTGAGTCCAAGACTTTCTCTACTTTCATGGCCATTTGGCTTCCTACAGCTGTTTTTGTGTCATGTCCCTGATAGCATCTTCCCGCTGGCTCTCCCAGCCTTGCTCTATCTGAAATCAGACTCGGCATCTGCCCCCTCACCCTTCTGGCCTTGTGAATGGAGTGGGACCAGCTGGGGCTCTGAGCTGGCGGGGGGCCGGGGGGGGCATTTCCATTCTGAAGAGAAAGGTTGGTGATCCCCTGCGGTTGACTGGGAGACCCAGTGGAGGCCAAGGGTGTTGCTTCCTCTGTTCCTTTCGAAATGAGCAGGTTAGAAAGAGCTGCGGCCATCATTGGTCCTGCCTTCACCAGAGAGCCCAGCCTCAGATCACAACCTTGAGGCCGCCCAGGGGAAAGAGAGGCGCAGGGAGGGCTCAGYRSAGGGCTCCACAGCACCCCAGCATTCTCCTGGAGAGAGGCAGAGGGAGGGACTGCTCAGARGCCAAGTCCCAGATCCTTCGGGAGGCTTGTTCTTGGCTTGTCTATCCACCCTGGTATTTCCCCTTGGAGAAGCCCTATCCATGGGGGCTGGGGACTATTACCATATTTTCTTTGCYGGTCTGATGATCACATCACATTAGAAAAGAAACTTTTATTTTCCTGTCCATTTACTGTCATTTTTTTTTATAAGTTTTTGCCAGCTCTTACTTACATGTGTCTATTACATAGTGGGAAATTATTCATTGATAAAAGTCATAATGTCTGCTAGGGCCAGCCCTCTGCCACTACCCAACCTGCCCTAGAGACATCCTTCCTACTTTTATCTCAGGAGTCTCAAAATAGGRCCCTGCTCCTCCCCTCCCCTCCCTGTGGTGTTGGAAACCATGTCCTTGTGTGGCCTCAGTTTCTCCTGCTTGCTTGGGAATTGGTTCACCCACTAACATTTATGTCTGGTATTGGAAATCCACAGTAGCTGGGCCGGTTGTTGAGTCAGCTTCATTCCCATTTGAGCAAGAGCAGCTTTATCTCTTCCCCTTTCTGGTAGGATCTGTTTCTTCTTCTAAGGCCCCTGGGACCTCTTGTTTGCAGGCCAGGAGTGGGGGTCCTTCCGGCTTCCCCTCACTCTACCTGTGCAGGGATACCCACAGAGGCTGCTTGGTTCCAGCTGCTCAGCCTAAGCAAGGATGCTCCGAACCCTGGCTGACTCAGACATCCTGCCCCAGGCAACAAGAGACCCCAGGGTCAGATGGGAAAGAATCGTGGGCCTGGGTTTCAAATTGTCCACACTGTAGGCGCTGTGGAGTCCTGTCCTAGCACAAATGCATAGGTGAGAACCACTTGTCATTAGCACATGGCTTATCCATTTAAGTGTTGATCCAAGACATTTGAAGAGACAGCTAGTTGTTTTCCTTCTTTAAAAGCATCTCCTTGCCTACTCAATAAATCCTTTTATTAGAGAAAGCCAAACCCCTGCTAGTTTCAAGCCTGGAAGATGAAAACCTCAGGGCTGTGAACCAGGTGGGTGGGCTGATGGTAGACAAGGAATCTGTTTGATCCCATTGACATCAGCCACGTGTTGGAGTGTTCCCAGGGTCGAGGACACCCTTTCCATGAACATGAGCAATAACCCAGTGACAATGCTGCTAAGAACTGCAGAGCACTTAAAGCACTTGCAGGTTGGCCTGTGCACATTTTATGCTCACAAACACCCAGCACATCGGGTGGGCTAGGTAAGCAATTCCCCACCTTAGAGCTGAGGGAATTAGTTCCCAGTGCGATGAGTCCTGCAGGATAGATAGCTACAGTGCAGGGGGTGGGGGGCATTTCTCCAGGCTATTCTTATCCTTGATTCGCAGACCGGCAGGTGGTGTCCAACTAACTGATACAATGAGGTTTCCTGGATGAAGAGGCTCCTAATGGGCTCCAGCCTTGCGTAAAATTGTCCCCAGCCTAGAGGGTGTGGAAGAGGGGCTGGCTGTGAGCAGGGAGGTGTGTGCATGGGGAGGAGGGGAGAAGCTTGGGGGGAAGGTGGAGAAGACCGRGCTTGGTGGGAGAGGGAGAGGCCAGGACTGTGCCCCATCCTCTGGGGCACCAGAAGTATATGCTGGGCTGCAAAGCCTCTTCATATCTGCCCACAACAGCTCTCTGGTTTTTTTCCTCTGTTTCCAGAACAAATTTAAGCCTGGGAGTCCCCAAGAAAACCCGAGAGGACCCCCTGCCTGTGCCCTCAGACCAGCATTCACTCCCTTTCCTGTAGGTTGGTTCCAGCTGCTCAGATGATAAAGGGTTTTCCTACGGAGACCAAGACRGCGCTCCTGACCCAGCCTCAGAAGGACCTGTTGGAGTGTGGGGCCCCTGCAGGGGCCAGTGGCGCTGAGCCACCCACACTCCTACCTGTTGCTCCTGGTAGAATGAATGGCTGGAATCAGGGTTTGGCAATGGCCAGGGATGGAGTCAGGGCCTAGGTCAGGGCTCATCATGGGTCCACAATTGGCTTGGTCTCAGACCGGAGTTAGGGCTGAGCGTTAAAGTTAGGGCTGAGCATTCCGCCGGCAGGGTCCGCCTGCCTTTGGCGGCAGATCTGAGTTTACCTGGTTCCAGAAAGGGAGGGGTGAAGTTTCCAAGGCAGACATCTTCTGTACAGGAAGAGCCTCAGGCCCCCGCTCTGGCATGGCTCAGCTTCATTCCCAGTCACCTCTAGCCAGAAGATGGGCACTGGAAGCTGCATTTTGGGTATAGGGTAGGGGTGGGAAAGCTTATGTGCACCCCTCTTGGGGCTTCCTCAGCCCCATCAGGGCAGACGGTGTGCCCCTCCCAAGATTGGTCCTGGTGTGGCAAGGCCGCTGTGCAGCCAGGGGCTCAGTCCAGGGCCTTCACCCACAGCCAGAGGCTTCTGGTTCCACTCCAGAGTGCCCCTGCCCTGCCCTGCCTGGGAGTGTCCCCTCCTCACCGTTCTGCTAGAGGCTGATCAGCAGGGAATTGTTACCCTCATTTTGCAGAAACTGATTCCTCAAGAAGGAATATGATATAACTTGAGTCACCCAACACATTAGTGGCTGAACAAAGCTTTGAGCTTGAGTGCCCGACTCCTCATCTAACACCTCTCCATGCTGGCAGGGAGCACAGGGAAGAGGGGAGACATGGTGTTGAGCAGGAAAGCTTCCAAGATCTGCAGAGCTGGGGTGCTGGTGTGCTGGGGAGCACTTCCTTGGGCATGGGCAGGGTGCTGGTGTACATAGCACCTTAGCATCAGAAGAGACCCACTGAGGCATGTCTGGCTCAGACCACCACATTCTGAAGCCCCCCAAGGGCCCAGCACCACACTGATCTCTAGGATCACAGAGGTGAAGAAGATGGGGGTTCTGCCTGCAAAGGTCCTCCACAGACRTCTCTGTCTAGCAACCTGGGTGTTTTCTGGGGCTGCAGTCCAACCAACCTCTCAACAAAGACCACTGAAATGCTCTTGGAATTTGGCTCCTGTAGACACCTTTTGCCAGATCCTCGAGTTCTGAGACCAGGGATGGCTTTGACCTTCCAGCAGACACAGCAAAGCCATGGCAGAGTCGGGTCCGGAAGTCAAGGGCCCCCTGACTTGCAGAGTGGGTCCTGTACCTGCAGCCGGGGCCTCCTGCCTTCTGATTCGGGCAGCTGTTGCTCTCCAGGCAGCCCCACCCAGCACCCTCATCTGAGTTTCTGGTCCTCCCTTRGAGCCAACTCGGAACTGATCTCATCAGTCCGCCTAGCCTTATCTCTTCCTTTTAATGAAATTCCTTTTCTCTTTTTACTAATTGTCCTGAGACTCTCCCTTCTCTTTCTTTCTCACGCTCCTGACTCTGGCCAGCCTGCTGCAATCTTGTTTTTCTTCTTTTCAGTGAGTTCCTTTGCACAGTCCTTGAAGGTCTGGGGAAGGACATATTTAGGGAAAGGGGCCTTYCCCCTTTCCCCTAGATCCATCTCCCCTGAGATGCCTCCAACCCCCCTTTACTGCTCATCCATCTGTCCTCCTCTTCCCCCATCACGCGCCGCGTCTCAGCTAACTTGTCACATAATAGTCTTTAGATCATTTTAAAAATCTTGGAAATAATCAGAGGATGCCATGTTTACTGTAGAAATAGCTGGAGTCCAGGAAGATCAGGGACACTTTGGAGCTAAACAGAGAGGGATCTCAGAGAACTGCCAAAGCTTAGAATTCAGGGTGATGGCGTTGGTGCAGGCTCTGCTGCTGTGGGTAGGTCTCTGGCTTCTGACCTTGGTTTCTGGGCCATTTAGGGGAGACCAGGCCATCTAGGGGAGACCAGTCAGCCTTTCAGTCCATGCAAGGGAGATAATAAGGATAGAATGAATAACTACCTTTCCTGTATGACCTAATGAGCCCTTTTAATTATTGAGAAAAAAGTCCTTATTTGCATCTGTGTGTCTTCTTGTATATTTGTAATGGAGACTTTGGGCATTCATTGAGGACACATGAACAACTTAGATGCATGAATAGCTGGGAACTCTAATTAAAAAGCAGATCCTGAGTCAAGCAGGCCAGGGTGGCCCCAAGAGTCTRCCATTTCTAAGAAGTTCTTAGGTGGATCCTGTTGYTGCAGGTCTGGGGAAAGCAAAGCATCAAACCACACCACACATTTCTCTTCTTCAAAAATGGGCTCACAGTAACCACCTTGCAAGTAATGAGAACAGAAAGGGGCCATTTATAAAATGAGAACCACAAACCCACAGAGGCACAGCACAGATGCTGGGCAGGCTGGGGTTGGTCTCATCTTTGAAGCATATGATACACATTTTTAAAAAAAATTTGTTCTTTTTAGATACACATGACAGAAGAGTGTATTTTAACATGTTACACATACATGGAGTACAACTCATTATACTAATCAGTATCCCATTCTTGTGGTTGTAGAAGGTGTAGAGTTACACTAGTTGTATATTCATCTATGAATAGAGGAAAGTTATGTCTGATTCATTCTACCATCTTTCCTATTACCATCCTCCTCCCTTCCCTTCATTCCCCTTTGTCTAATCCAATGAACTTCTACCCCCCCACACACACACCCCATTGTGTGTTAGCATCCGCATATTGGAGAGAACATTTGGCCTTTGGTTTTTGGGGATTAGCTTACTTAGCATGATAGTCTCCAGTTCCTTCTACTTACCAGCAAATGCCATAATTTCATTTTTCTTTATGGCTGAGTAATAATATTCCATCAGAAGTGCATGATACACATCCTTCCCTCAGCAGAATGACATGTCCCCACATGTYGCGTGCCTTCGGACTTGTACTCAAAGAGGTGGAGTCAAAAAGAGCATATCTATGAATGCCAAGGATCTAACCTCTCCCAAATATCTGACTTTATGGACATCTGATTCATGTTTAATATATCAGTTCACCGTCCAGTACTAGGAATCTCAAGGCCACGTGTGTGGCCCCTGAGAAGGGCTTTGAAGGAGCTGTTCCTATGTGTGAGATGATGCAGCTGTTGACCCATCTTGAAAGGAGAATAAATGTCCACAGCTTGTGCCCACTCAAGCATGAACAGGAAGGAATGAAAGAGATGGAGTCTGTATACCCTGAGGCTTGTGCCCACCCAGCAGGCTATAAAGCTAGACTGGCTTTTGGGCCCACCTTCTTAAAGTCGCCTGTTTCTGCAGGACATAGGGCAGTGCTCCAAAGCTATTCTCTCAGTCTTCAGCACCTGCCCACTGAATTCCCAGCACTATCCAGAACTCTCCACGGCAAGGGAAATGCCTGGCACCTGCGCTGTTTGCATGGTCACCCCTGGCTACGTGTGGCCCTTGAGCTTTTATGATATGGCTAGGACAACTGAGGAGGTAGATTTTTAAGTTGATTTCATTTTAATTGATTTTCATCCAAATAGCCGCCTATGGGTAGTGACTCTCAGAGTGGACAGTGCAAGTCCAGACTAGACCGATGAGCAGTGCTTTCAGTCTGGTCTTCTGTAGATAGCACTCTTGACCCTGGGAGGAAGGCCAGCCGGGGCTGGAGGAGAGAGGGATAGAGGGGATGACCACAGGACACCTAAGGTGACACACACAACCGAGCTCAGAGCTCACTCTGCCCAGACCAGGCAGCGTGTGATGAGGTCTGTGGTGGGAGTTTCCAGCTGTCTGTCTCACTGAGTGACCTGCAGCAAGACTGTGTGCTCAGCAGYTTGGGGCTGAGCCTCGGGCTCCCTGCCTCGGCCCCTGCCCACATCCCACCTTCTGAACACACACCTTCCCCCTAAGATCATCGACCCGTTGGTGGTCCCAGTGAGTGCTTGTGGGTGTGTGTGCAACTAAGCACACACCTACACATGTGGGCGTGCCTTTCTTTGTCCAGAGCCGATTGAGTCTTGGCCTTAGGCTTCCTTGTTCTCCTCATGAATGTCCTGGCCCTGCCTCCACCCCCCTGTTCCTCTGCCCTCCCTCCTTCAGTCCTGCCTCAGTTTCTTCCTTGCCCGGTGTCCCCAGCTGACAGAAGTGCTAATCTTGTCACACCCAGCAGCTGCGTGCAGAAATGCTACTGCAAGCCACAGCGGGCTCAGCAGCACTCTTGCAAGATGTCAGAACTGTCCACCATTACTCTGTAAGTGTGCGTGGCCGTGGCTGTGGCCGGGTGTCCTGGAGGGGAGGGGGACGCATGCCGCCACTGCCTCGAGCTTGCGTCTCGGCAGGCTGGAGAGTGGAGAGCCACCTTGTGCTTCCCAGCCTGGCCCTGATCCCCGGCTGTTGCATGTTGACGTCTGTCCCCGTGTCTTGTGAGTTCTCTGTAATCTTGTGGTCCTGGGGCGGGAGGGCGAGGTGTGGGGACGGAGCTGCAGTCATGGTAGCAGCATCCTGGGGGCTTGGCTGGTGCTGAGGAGGAAGCTCTGCAGTCTTGGTTGCTGCCTTGTGTGTGTGACCTTTCCCCAAATCCCCCACTTCTCTGAGCTTCAGTCTTTGCAATTGCAAAATTATTTCTAATAAGAGTGAGAACTTTAGTTTATCGAGGCCAAACCCCTGCACACAGGAGGGGACCCTCACTTCGATACTTAGAGTACTCGATGTGCAAGTTGGTAGCAAGTCACTTGTTTCGGCAGCCACTCTATGAGGTGGGTCCTTGTATTGTCCCCATTTTACAGATGAGAAAACTGGAGCACAGAGAGGTGAAGTGACTCACTCAGCCACTTTATTGGCAGGGTGAGAATTTGAACCCAGGATTTGAACACTGTGCTTAGGTTGACTCTGACCAGGTCAGCCTCAATTTGGATGTCCACGTGGACTGGGGGTGTCACTGCCTCCTTGGCAGCCCCTTGTCGTTGATGCAGCTCCAATCACTGGAGGCTCTTCTTGGCATTTTAGGATTCTTCTGCCTATTGAAGTCTTCTCAGGGCAGTAGGACATTGCTATGCCCTGTGTCACTGTCTCTCTGGGTGATCAGATTATAGTGTGAGGCTTATATCCTAAATTCCAATTGTAGGGCCTCCAGGCAGGTCAGAGGTCCACAAGCCCCACCTCACTGAGCTTTAGAGGTCTTCTCCTCTGTCCTCAGTGCCCTGTCTGCCAAAGGGGCCCCTGCAGCCACCTGGGTCCCTGCCTAAAGTCCCTGACTTTGCTGAGGCTGCTGCAGGGTGCTGGGGAGGGAAGCTGCCCATGGCCTATCCATGGGATACCCTTGGTGCAGCTACCACTTCTGTTCTGGGCCTGGGAAGAGCCTGAGCCCCTGCATGAAAAGCCCCACTGTGAATCCAACGCATCTCATGCCACCTTTGACACTGGAGAGGTTTGACATCTTGGTTTCCAGGGCTCTTCTCAGACGATAAGGCCAAGTTCCTGGAAACTGTCCATTTGCAGGACAGGAAGACAGGAGGGAGGGAGGCAGGCACCCCAGTCCTGTTTCAGGGCAGCCTCCCTTCCTGAGCTCCTTCAACAGGTGTGTGTTTTAAAGTGAGCCTGTTAGGCAGGACCAGAGCCACATTGCATTTCCAGCCCCTTTCCTTGGCTCTTCTTAATCTGTCACCCTCTGTTGCCTTCTGGTTCCAGACTCTGGGCACCCAGAGATGAGCAGCACCCACATGCCCAGATGTCTGGCTTTAAGGACTCTGGGCTCTTGTGCCTGTGTGGTCCATGGATTCCTCCCTGGAGCAGGCATTTCTGGGCATCAGGTCCAAGCCCAGAGGTGCTTGCTGCAGGACATCACAGACAAACAGGAGCCTCTCTGCCTTCTTCAGGGAGCACTTTCTAAGAGGAAGGCTGAGAGGACAGGCTACTCAGGGCTGCATCTGGACTCCCAGCAGGGACTGCTCAGCTCCTGTTGGCCCTGCTCTGGTCTAAGGACCCTCAGGGCCTGCAGAACAGGCTGTGAGCAGGGAGGAGGTTGGCCACACTCCAGTGGCCTCTTCCCTTCTGGGCTGAGCTTCCTCTTCCTGTAGGTCTTCTCAGGCTGCTCCTCCTCCTTATTCCCTGTGTTTCTTCCTCTTCCTCGCCTGCCTTCTCCCTCCTGCCTTCTCCTCACAGAAGCCAAGATACCAAGACCTTGCACAGATCTCATGGTTTCAATCTTCTAGAAGTTTGGAGCCTCCACATTCAATATAACGTTCTTTCCTAGAAAATCTGGGATGGGGAGGAAGGAGAAGCACAGAGTATAGTTGCCCCTATCAAACAGGCACCCTAGACTCCATGTCCACTTTTGTGAACCATCCTCTGTGGGGAGAGCATGGTCTGACCCTCCAGAGAGCCAGGTTGGGTGCAGCTGAGGGACAGAACACATCTGCAGGACAGGACTGGGCCCTTTGGGGGAGGCCCACAGGGAGCCAGTAAGCTGGAACAGGTGGAGATGGGGTCCTGGGAGCTCCTGGGAGAGTTTGCTCCCTGGAGAGCCCAGCTGCCTGGTGTCCCCATCCTGGGTCTCTAAGCCTCTGCACCCTTAGAACAGGGCACCACTCCACTCTTGACCTGAGAGCCAGTGGTGGGCTGAGAGTCAGGGAGAAAGTGGGCCACACATCTGGTGGTTCCCCTGTCTGTCCCACCTTGGAGCCAAGATTGTTCTCTCCCCTTTACCCAGTTTCCTGGKCAGAAGCTTCTTCCTGCCTGGGAAGAGATGGTTTATGCCCAGAGTCTGTAGGTCCTTCCTAGAATCCAGCCGTGGTCCAGCCAATGCCCTCCCTCCCTGTGTTCAGCACTCCTGTTACTTTCTGGGAATGTCCTCCACTCACCCCAGACTCAGAAACACAGAAACTCTGTGGCCTTCAGGAGCAACTTTTGTGGCACATAGAATTTCCTTCTAGAACAGGGAGAAGCTTTTGCTTTGCCTCCAGTCCTGTGTTTTGCTCTGAATTTATTTACCCCCAAGGGTTTTACACATTGTTCAGGGGGGTCCTATWAATAGTGTGTACATTTTTAGTGGCTCTGCAGGATGTTGACTGGGTGCCTTGCAGACTGGGGAAGCCCCGCCCCACAATAGCTCAGGGAGTCCTGGAAGCCTGGGCCCTGGTCAGTTCCCTTCTTTCCCAGGTCCCTTGCACTGATGTAATGCTGAGCAGAACTGTTGACAGGGACCTGGGGGAGAGCCAGGGGCTGGGACTGGATCCTCTGTGGCTCTGGTCCCAAGACCTGGCAGTCTCTGGAGCACATGTGCTACTTTCTCTCCACAGACGGCTGGCCCGGTCCACCCTGCTGCTCATCCCGCTGTTTGGAATCCACTACACTGTATTCGCCTTCTCCCCAGAGAACGTCAGCAAGAGGGAGAGACTCGTGTTTGAGCTGGGGCTGGGCTCCTTCCAGGTAAGGCATGGCACAATTGGAGGGAAGAATTCCCCAGAACCAGGGGTAGTTCTGGAACCTCTTCACCTCACTCCAGGTCTCAGTGTTTCTGTCTCTGAAATAAGTACTAGAATAGAAGCGCTCTGTGAAAGCTCTAGGATATACACCCCAATATCTGCACATCACTATGACTGAGCTTCCTGTGCCATGCCCCTTGGGCAATCTGAGATGACAGTTGTCCATCAGCCTGGGCTGCGGGGTGGATGGCTTTGAGAGCCCTGTGTGTCCACATCCTGATTTCAGCCTTCTAATCCTGCACCCCTGCAGGGCTGGAGTTCTGTCTTACTCAAGTCAGGGTCCCTGGCACAGGAGTCCCCAGCATAGGACCTGGCCTCAGCATAGGACCTTGGCAAGGACATGAGCAAATAGATGCATACCCAAGTGAGCCAGGAGATGCGGGGAGCAGTGGAGTAATGAGTCCACATGGGGAGGGATGAATGATGGGCTGTGAGTCCTGGTGTGCATGGGCAGTAACAGTGGGTTCATAGGGGAGGGATGGCTCCCTGGGGTGTGCTGGGTAGAGTGTCTGTCCCTGAGCCATCTGCTTAATATAGCATTTGAGCTTGGTGGTCAGGACATTATTCTGGACATCTGACTGGTGTCTTGCATTCTAATTCAAGGCCACTTCACCTGGCTCAGCTTCTGAACCTGCTCAGACTGGGACAGATTTTTATAGAGCAAGTTCTGAACCAGGAAACAGAACCCAGGGCTCCCATGTTTGGACTTGCTGATATATTCCAGTCCTTATTCCGCTGACACCTTCAAATGACAACCTAGGGCACAGGGATTGCAAGAAATTTGTTGGCAGTATTCAGGAGAATGTTCTTGGTTTTTTTTTTTTTTTTTTTTTTTGGTGTACATGTAGAATGGCTAAACCCATGTTCCATGCCAAGGACTGACTTTTCATGGTCTTTGGCTTTGCTGTGATAAGGGTGGAGGGTGGAGGGAGAGTGGGGAGACAGTAATAGTTAAAGAAAACATGCTTCTGTTGTATCCTGGAGGGCTCCTGTCTCAGGAGCCTGCCATCCAGTTGGAGAGCCCAGAGAACATTCTGGGGCATTCAGGGAAGTGGGATACAGCCTGTAATCACAGTGGCTCAAGAGGCAGAGGCAGGAAGATTGCAGGTTTAAAGACAGCCTCAGCCACTTAGTGAGGCCCTAAGCAATTTGGCAAGACCCTGTCCTGTCTCAAAATAAAAAATAAAAAAAGGGCTGGGGATGCAGCTCATTGATAACTCATCCCTTGGTTCAATTCCTGGTCCCACAAAAAAGAGGGGGGGGCAAAAAGGCATTTGGAAGGGTTCTACCAAGGGCACATGGGATTCAAAGCCTGGGTGTATTGGTGGGTTTTCGCCCACCAGCCACCTGGCTTCCTGACTGCCCATCTTGGTGGAGCAGAACACATCTGTCTCATCCCAAAGCCTTGGGCAGGGTCCCCTATCCARGTCTTGGCATTTTTCTGCTTCCTGTTGTCATGCTCTCACCCCTGCCCTCCCCCACACCCCCTGCATATGGCATTCTGAGGTTTATTTCTTCTCTTTCCCCAGGGCTTTGTGGTGGCYGTTCTCTACTGTTTTCTGAATGGGGAGGTAAGACCCTGGCCATTTGGCTTCTCACCAGTGGAAGTGGGGATTGCTGGGGAGCAAACACCAGGATAGATCCCCCTGACAAAGAGTTTTGCTAGGCTCTCAGCACCTAGGGGAGGAGCTGGTCACACAGCTGCAAGTGTCCTGTYTTGTCAGGGTCTCCTGACAGCTTCCACCTGGGTCAGGACCTTTCCCACTTGGCCGCTGAGGCCCACCCTGAGCACAGAGCTCTACCCAAAGGAAGACAGAGCTCCTGCATGTGCACTCATGAGAGGCAACTCAGTGAGGAGGAGGTGACAGCGAGGCAGGGGAGGACACAGGCACAGGAACCACAGGTCAGGAGGCTGTGATGGGCAAGATTGCTAGACCAGGAGCTGTCCAGCATTCAGCGCTGCCCCACAGCAGACCCCCCTGCTTCACTGAACCAAATCCATCCCCTGGTAGAGCAAGGAATGGGAGGATTTGGAAGAGACCTCAGGGAGAGACCTGGAACCTTCCAGTAATGCTCCACTTGCAGAGCTCACCTATGGAGTGATGCTCTTGAGGAGAACCCAGACAGGTGCTGGGATGGGGCCGGGGCTGGACGTGTGGGATGGGTTTGGAGGGGGAGCAACAGTGCTCTCTGTGAGACTGTGACCTCAGCAGGCTCTTCCCTTGTTTGCATCTGAGAAACAAAAAGATTGGCTCAGCCATCACTGGAATGACCTAGAGCAAGGGTCAGATTAGGAMAGATGAGGAGCGACAGAGAGGGCCTTGCAGGAGTGACGGGGAGAGCAGACACGGGAGAAGGTGTWGCTTGTCAAGAGCCTGCGGTGGAAGGGGAGCTGGACGTGGAGAGGGGGAGTGTGGGTGCTGCTTCTAGTCCTATTTTGTGCACTGCACAGAGATAACTTGGCTGAAGGGCAGGTGGAGGCTGAGACTCACTTGGCATGACCCCCCAGTTGCCGTGCTAAGTAAGGGTTACATGGGAGTGCATTTGCCAGAGGACTGCTTAGTGGTTCGCAGCCATGACKGCACACTGCAATCACCTGGGATGTTGTAAAAGCTACTGCCATCTGGATCTTAGCCAGAGATGGGATGTAATTATCCATATGGTCTGGGATCTGAGACTTTGAAAACTCTCTGGGTGATTCTCAGGCAGCCCAGTGTGAATGGTCAGCAAGAGTGGGCTTCCTTACCCTGATCCATGTGCCCCGAGGGACTGCTTGTTAAAGACCCACCCAGCTCTTTTTGGAGTGGGCCAGAGACAAGAGGAAGCTGTCCGAAGGCCTTCCCCAGGCAGTGACTAGGGGGAGGTCTGCAGGGGGTACCAGGAGGAGTACTGGAGGTGACAGCCTCGGAAGGCCCGCGGTCAGGGTGGGACCTGGTGCCTGGAGAGGATGTCGCCCAGAGGTAACAGCCCCAGTTGCTCCCTGCAGGTGCAGGCAGAGATCAAGCGGAAATGGCGGAGCTGGAAGGTGAACCGTTACTTCACCGTGGACTTCAAGCACAGGCACCCATCCCTGGCCAGCAGTGGGGTGAACGGGGGCACCCAGCTCTCCATCCTGAGCAAGAGCAGCTCCCAGCTCCGCATGTCCAGCCTTCCGGCCGACAACCTGGCCACCTGAGTCCCYCTCCCCTCTTCCTCTCCTCCTACACAGGCTGGGGCTGCGGGCAGGGGCTGTGCACGTTCGCGCCTCTTCCCTCCCTTTGGGCAGGCCCTGGGCTGGCAGCTTGGCTCCTCCTCAAGTGGGGAGAAGGTGGCGGGGCGCAGATTGTTATTGCCCCTCCTGTTTGGGTACTGGTCCTGCCCACCATGGTCCCTTGGTCCCTGATTGGACATGTAAATACTCCTTGAATTTGGAAAGTTGTCCCATCTCTTCTCTTCCACCCATGTCCCCGCTCACTTCAGCCAGCCCAGTTCCATTGCACTGCGTCTTGGCMAGCCTCGGTGATGGCCTGAGCCCAGGCACGAGGCCTTGTGAGCTGAGGCTGAAGAGACCCTGCTCTGGAGTGGCTGGTCTGATGCCCGCCTCAATAACCCCCTCAGTTTTGACTTCAGATATGGGACCTTTTCTTGTCTGAGCCTAGTCCCTGAGGCTAGCCAGAGGTCCAGCTGGGGTGGCCGGATCCTTCGATGCAGGCCAGCCCCAAGGCTCCCTCATGCTCACCTGGCATCTTGGTGTCCAGGTCCCCAACCTCTGGGTATCAGGGTGGTGGGAAAACTCCACACTCTTTCAATCAGAGACTTCAGTTGGGGGTGGGGTTTGAGGGTCAGGAAAAGTTCTGGTGCTTTTCATTTGATCCAAGAAGAGCTGAGAGCCAGAAATGTGAATATGGTTGAAAAGGAGATAGAACGGTTTGAAAGACCCATTCAAGAAGACTGCCTCCATCTCCATTGTTGGACCCCGACATGAGACAGGCAGGGTTCACCTGGTAGCTCCCCTTCTGCCCTTCCTGTCCCCAGTAGATGCCCCAGAGTCCCTAAGCCCTCCTCCTTCCTTCCCCTTAAGTCAAAGCCCTCCTCCCTACTTCCCCTTAAGTCAAAGCCATGACTAGGTTGAACCAGCCGACTTCCTGTGATGTCAGCAAATCCTGGAGCACCTCACACCTCCAATGTGCCCAAGTCCTGGGCCCAGGGCTCCCCCAGGCCCTGCCTCCATGGGTGACCGAAGAGCCCCAGTCACCAGGTCCTCCGACCTGGACTCAACTACTGAACTCTATCTGAGACCTCTGTACTACATCCCCCTGTGTGCCCTTGACATTGAATCACTGTGGGCTGCTAGGGAGCTTGAGGGGACACCATGCCTACACACCCATTAGCAGAAGCTATTGGTGGGAGGAGCTGATGCCCCTCTGCCCCCCCCCCAACCCAGTGCTCATTCTGGCTTCCCAGCTGCAAATGGCACAGCACCTACAAATTTCAAATAGGGCAGAGCCAGGTTCAGGGAAGGTTGAGAAAAGTGCTAGAGTGCCATGGCCCCGGGGCCCAATTCATTCCACCTCAGCTCTTGGTCTTGTTCCTGTCTCTGTGTTTGTGGACTTGCTTCCTGACCATGTTCTGAAATGCTTGGGGGTTGGGGTGGGGGTGGGTGTTGCTTTGTCTTGGTTTCACAAAGAGGAAGGAACCCTGGGGGCCTTGGCAGTGCTTCTGGAGACCCTTTCAGAGGGACTGGAGAAGGCTCTAGTTGCTCTAATTTGGAGACGAGTCTTGCGTCCTCCACAGGGAAGTAAGTCCCCCTGGGTCTTTGTCAACCACCCAGAAAGGGTGCCCTTTCCTCAGCAATTTGAATGATTTGGACTTGCCGTGGGGTGTGCAGTGGTCCCTTCTACCCTGAGCCAGACCTCCGGATCCCCTCACCCTGCTTGGGGAGGCAGGTGCATTGCCCAAGAAGTGTCTACTGATCACCTTGCACTTGGGTCACGGCTGGAGTCCCTGAGTTGCTTGGAAGAAGCCCCGGCCTGGGATTCAGAGACCAGGATTCTGCCCCAGCTGGGTTCTCATGGCTGTGACTATGGACCCAATTCTCCCTATTCTGGGCCTCAGTTTCCCCATTCATGAAATGAGGTGGCATCTAATGTTTCTCTGGGCCCTGTACTGTTCAGTTTTCCAGTTCAAAACGAAGGCAGGTAAAAGGGCATGCATGCATGATGTGTGTATCATCTGAGGTTTTAAGGAGGGGGGTCTGTAGGTGAGGGAAGAATGCTGTTTATTTTCTCTTCGAAACCCAGCTCCTTTCCCTTCCTTTTGGACACCATGATGGAAGCCAGTAGAATGGAAGGGAGGCTCAGGTCACGGACATTTGAACAGGTGCCTTGGGTGTGATGTGCAGACCAGCGCTCCACCTGGCTTGGGYAGGGTGCTGTGACTAGGTGGCAACCGGATCCAAGGAGCAGTTATATGGACCTCATTCATTTGTCACCACCCTCACCAGCAGCGCTGTGTCACTGTGGAGGAAGAAACTGACTTTATAGCTACAACATTGCGAAACAGCAAAAACAAGTCAGCCCCGCGTCCCGTGTCCTGCACTACTGCTGAGCCCTGGGCCTCTGTCCTCCTAGAGGTTCTGGGTCCCCTCGGTTTGTTTTCTGTTTGAATGGATTTTTGCCAGTCTTGTGAGAAGATGTACCTGCTGTGTTCTGAATGTTCCAGAAGTTTCTGGTTTCGGGTCATGGGGAGTGGGAGGGTGGCATGAGGCCTGGGACCAGATCKTCTGTTTTCAAATCTGTAGCATGGGCAGCAAGACTAGATGATTCTTACGTAGCCCGACACATCCTGGAATTCTCTCTAAATACCAGCCATCTCCTTGGAAGGGGCCCCAAGTAAGGATTGTGTCATTGCCTGGACTCCCAAAAGATAAGGAGTCCTGCTGTGTGAAGAGGGGTGGGGACACTTGGGAAATGTTCACCTGGAGAAGAACAGGGTTGTTGGGCTCCATGCCTGCGGGGGTTCATTCCTGGGAAGGGTTTTTTTTTTTTTTTTTTGTTCTATGCAATTCTAAACCTCACCCATGGGTGGCCAGATTCTTCTTCTCGGGATAGGGAAATCTCACACCTGACATGACTGTCCAGGTGTGGGACAGGCAGGCAGTGTCAGGAGAGGCACAAATTAGGGGAGCTGAGGCTGCCGTGGAGCCAGTGAAGAGCCAGAGAGTGGAATTTAGGGGTTCCGCAGCCTTSTCACGGTCCCCAGCCCTGTGAGCCTCAGGACTCCCATCATACTTGGGGCCACAATACATTCTCTGTTTCAGTAGGCAGCCCTCCCTGTGACCATCTGTGACATGTCTTTCTCTAACCCCATCTTCTGGGTTAGAGCTGGGTCCTTGGGAAATAAGGCTGGGGAGCCACAGCCTGGCCTGAGGCTGGAMATAGACCTGCATCTGTTATCATCTGCCAAGGCCTCTGCTCCTTGATCAGTCCCTCTCTTTTCCTGGAAGAGACTCTCTCTTTAATTCTTTTGAGTACCCTTATCCCTTTCAGGGCCACTCCAGAGTGAAAGGAGTGAGCATTGTGTCGTRTGAATCACTTGAGCCCCAGGCAGCATGGAAACCAGCTGGAAGAGCCCCAAGCAGGGAGCAGGGACCTGGGCTTCTCCCTGCTTTGCCACTGACCTGCTGTTTAACCTTGACTCATTCCCTTGTGGCTTTGGGGAGACACAAAAGGCTAGAGCCAGGAGAAACTTGGAGATGGACACATCAGCTGTCACCTTCAGACCTGTGAGGAAACAGGTGGGCACCCAGGCATCAATCTGAATGAGGAAATGGCCCCACCAGTACGTACACATCCCTGCGCATGAGCCAGAACGTGGTGCTCAAAGCATCGACATCTAAGAAACACTTGGCCTTGTGTAGCAGAGGGGCTCTGGCTACTGAAAGCTGTTTAGGACTCCAGAATGCAGGAGAAGCCGTGGAGTYGACCTGCTGGGCTTCGCCACCTGCTCTGTGAGACCGTCTCCAGGCCTCTGCCCTCTAATCTGAGAAATGGACGGTTGTGATCGGATCATCTGCTGCACAGGCCAGGGATGAGGTTGAAGTGAGAGACCCTCTGCGTGTGAATGGATTTTGGAAATGACACAAATTTGGTCTCATTACTGGGGTGAAGCCCCCTGAAAAGGGGCTCTTTGCTGTCTGTTTACTGCATTGAGTGCTCCTGGGTTGACTTTTACCCCATTTGTAAAACCACCAGCACTGGGGATGAGGAGGAAGCCAGAGGGCTCTGGCAGACGCAGAGTCTTAGCTTTATCTTTAACTGATTCTGTTTGCACTTGGGATTAGGATGGGGAGAGGACCACATGGGTGTTTTGAGCTTTTCGATGCTACCCCTCCTGGGAATCCTTCAAGGATGTGGGAAAGTTCTCCAATGGGCCATATGCCCATCCCTTCTCCTTCCCCTGAACTCCAGGTCTGGGAATGTGTCTGCAATCAGCCACGTGTGTCTTGTCTGATGTCTGTGTTCTGTCGCTTTGCACCTGCCAGGGTTGGAGTGGTGCAGTCCCTGGCATCCCAGATGCAACTCCAGGCTCCCTTGTGGGAACTGGATCAGCCTGGGTTTCATCTCCCATGATACAGATGAGCCCCATGGACCTTATTGCTACTGCTGCTGCCATTAATGCTGTGCTCACAACCTTGTCCGGGAATTTAAGGATGTCAAACTGCTGTAGATGACTCAATAAATGTCTTATCATTTTTTTCCTGGTGGCTGTAATTGATCAAAAAGGAGGTCATGGAGAAGAAGAGGTGGAAGGGGAGGACTGATCACCCTAGAATAATCCAGTCTGTAAAATCCTGTGTCTTTTGGGATTCCCAGCGAGTGATATGGGAATTGGGCTCAATGAGCTGAGGTTGGTCTTGGAAAACCAAAGGAAAAGTCTTGGCCTCAAAAGAATCTTYGTGCAATCCTTGAGTGGACTCAGGATCACTTGGATATATTGAGTTCCTGGAAATGGAAGCAGCTTACTCTGTAATCTGATGCTTTATGTCCTTCATATTGTTCAAGAGGAGTGSCCACCAGGTACCCCTAAATGTTTTGCAAACAGGGAGGCATTTCATCCAAGGTAGTCACAGGTGTGCCCTCGGCTCCAGGAGTCCCATCCCCTAACCCTCTGCAGAGTCAGAGTCATCAGTCCCTGCCTGACTAGGTGCCTAATCTCATTTCCTAGAGGCTCTGTTGATGGTCACAAGTGTGGTGCCCACTTTTATATTAGTCATATGAGTTTTAGTTGCTAGCAGA